ACGAGAACGCAAAGGGAGCCAAGTCGTTAAAGCAAAACCCTTCCTCTGAATACTTCTCCTTGCAACGCAAATCCCTGATGGGGAGATCCGGCCAAGAGCTCCAAGTCCAACATCCCTTGCTCCAATCTTGCATTTGTGTGCTGCAAGGCGACCCCGCTGCGCTCTCGCCGGGCTTGCCAAAGCAGCGGCATCCGGAGTGGGGTGACGCTCCAGCGAGAGCAGCGTAATTACAGGTTGCAAGCCGAGTTGCATTTATAATCGGCAAAGATGATATGTGGTTGATAACGCACTGCATTCCTCGGCGTTTGCTTTATCTAGGTCATGTTTTTTTTCTTCTTTTTTTGCTCTTAATCTACATGAATTTTTAATTGCATCTTTCACGTTGATCTCTTTAGTGAGTCTAGCTTGAGAAGGCCCTTCCTGCTTGTCACATGCAACATCTCAACCATTTCTGAACACGCAGGAAGAGAAAATAACCATCAAGGCCAGATTCAGGGGCTACTCATAGCCAAGCTCACCCATCGCGAGCACCATGCATGCTTCCCTGTTGGCTTTTGGGAGCAGAAGCAATTCTATCAATGAGCAAGCCGAATCTGCAGCTCTGGTTGACATTTGCCACTGTTCACATCCCAGCTCTCTGCTTAGGTGCGTGACCACCCTCAAAGATCTGGTTTAGCAGGCAAGCTTGAATCCTAGAGCCACTAATCCTGCACTGGGGTAAATATTAATGTGGATCTCATCTTGTCTAGAGAGGGAGAAGAGAACGAGCACTTCTTGCTCTACCTGTCGCTGCTTAAAACCATAGGAAGCAGCCAAAGGTAAGCGCTTTTCATGGTTGAAGAGAGGTGACCGTTAGTGCAGAATTGCACATAAATATTTCAGCATGTGTCTAGGCAGCCCAGGTCACATTGCACCAAGATGCTCCAAAACGCATCATGCTGAATAAATACCAAAACCCACCAGAAAACACCTCAGGAAATGCAATGCCTCCAAGAAATTGCCTGCCCTCATTAACACCGTGGTGTCACCTCATCCCTGAGCATGTCCCGTTCCCTGATGTAGCCCTGAGTGAGAGATTTGCCCAGCCTGGCCACTGGCACGTGCTGTCCCACAGTCCCAATATGACTTGCTGTCTCCCTCCACCTTCACTCGTGTGGATGCACTTGCAACGCTGCTCCTTACTCTCCTGCCCGAGCAGGTAACGCTGGTGTTGCCATCCCCTCATCTAGTCGCACCCCAAGCATTTGCAGGGCAAAACACTGTAATATAAAATCTTTTCATCTCCTCTATCTGCAATTCTAGGAGCACTTAAGTACAGGTCCTGCAAAGAGCCACTCTATTATGAAGCGTTTTGCTACCCAAAGAGTTATTTTGCCTGGGCTTCCCGTCGCCGTGCTTTAGCTAGCAGCCTTTGATGTGGAGCCTCTCCAGCGGCTCCTGGAAAATGGGATAAATGGAAGCCACCGAACCTCCTTTGGGAATCCCGGTAATTACGACTTCAGAAAACTCCCAGACACGCTCCCAGCTCATTACTATGCTGGTCGCGGTGTTCTGAACCCCATCGCGGCCAGGCAACACCCCCTCCTGCCTGGTGCTCCTCTGAATTTCAGGTACCTTCTCACCCAGGCTGCAAGTCACAGCAAAGAGATGAGGAGGTGGGAAAAAGGTCCAACAAGCCGAGAGCGACTTAAGAACAGCAGCGTAGCCAGCTACGTGCAACTTAAAGAAGCTCCCTGGGATGGCGGCGCACGCGTGAGCTCACCCGCGAGCGAGCCAAGTGAGCCTTCCAACTCGTGCTTGCAGCGGGGGCAGGAAGCCTGCTTCTGCTTACTGGTTTCTTTATGCTTGAGCTAAAGATGCACAAAATAATAATAAAAAAAGCCATCGTACTTTTTAAAGGGATTAGAGATATTTCCTAAAATACCTCGGGGTGCATAGTACGATGGGGATGAATCAGTGTGGCGCCACAAAGGGAAATCCAGGCTGCAGGGACTCGCTAGGGATTTTGGATTCAAGCATGCAAGGAGGAGGAGGACTGGCAGATGGCTTGGTGGAGTTACTTTGGGACACCGATAAGGGACAGAGGAAAGAAATGGAGACTACTGCACCACCACTAGAAATAGGGGAGAACCACTAGGGACTTTTCTGGGGGAAAGCACGCTTCTTTTGACAGAAGTTACTGGGTTGAAAATCCAACTTTCCATCAAAAAAGGAAAAAAAAAAAAAAAAAGGAAAAAAGAAATCCAGCTAGCTCTAGCTATGCGATCAAAGCTGGAGATTAAACTGCTCAATGCACAAGCATTTGAGAGCAGGATATAACAGTATAACTCACTGATTAACCACTCAAAGAAGAACGGAGAGAGCAAAACCATGTCACTGAGCGCGGGAAGAACTTTGCCTGCCAACCAACACAACTTGGCTCAGGTTCATGCCAGGCAGCGTCACGCCTGTGCTCACATCTCAGGTTTTAATGAACAGTATTTCATGAGGCAGTAGTTTGGACCATGCTGAGGTCTGCTTTAGACCGAGGCCATAGGAGAAGGAAGACACAAAACACTACTGGAAACACTGAGTACAAAGCTTGCGGGCACACGCTCCACGTTTACGGTGTGCAATTCTTGCAGCAGAAGTAGGGCATTACGGAAAAAACAAGAGAGACATCCAAAGAGAATTCATGAATTCATCAGATTTGCCTCTGATGAATTTGAACTCTGCCTAGTTCATTTACAGCAGCAGCTGCTCCAAGCCAGAGCACGATATCATTTCAAGGAAGCAGGTTGGTCAATCGAGATTGACTTTGGGCTTTGCAGGCCAGTATGCTCCATTGAAGCTTAATACCACACCTGAGGGCTCTGGTTGCATGAAGGAGCTCGGTCCATAGAGCCTAAGGCTGTGCCTCAGATGATTATGCCTTGACAACAAAATCTTCATCCCTTTTGGCTCTGCTGGGTGGACCCAGAAGTGAAACTCTTGCAACTTCAAGGAAGAAACTGGCTATTTATGGCCTTGGATTGGGCAAGAAGACATTCCACTTGGGAAAGGTTATTCCGGAGTCATCCAGCACAGAGCAGCTGTGCTGCTGGCCGTGCAGAGACCCTGTCCTCAAGGGGCCACTGGTAATTCCTATGCTTCTAAGATCAAGCAAACGGAGGCCAGCTGATTGGGAAAAAAAGAAAGGAAAAAAGGAAGAAGTAAGACTCCAAAGCACTGTGGAGAACACATTCCCAGGGAAGCAGCATTTCTCAACAGAAAACCTGCAGGTGGGAAAATCACAGCTTGCGATCCCTCTAACTCACTGATTCAACCACAGCTCCACCAGTTTGAAGGTGGGCTGTGGAAGACAAGCACCATAGAAAGAATGATTATAAGCAAGGAAGAGTTTCCTTTTTCATTAGAAATCACTTGAGACTTTTTTTTTAAATGGTGTTTTGGCAACGGGCAAAATTTGGCCAGTGGAAAAAGAATTCAGGTTGTTGAGAGTTTTTTTTTTTTTTTTGTCTTTTGATCAATTTGCCAGAAGAGTGGGGGTGGGGGTGGGGGTGGGGAACATTAAAGGGTTTGCATTCCCGTCCTCTGGTTTTATTGCATGCAAACATCCACAGTCGTTTTTTTCGAAGCTTTCCAATTTGCTAATTGAGACATTTCCTCACTGAAAAAGAATGTTCTGAACTAAAACTGGTCTACTGGCTACAGCCTAGTAAGAAAGGAAAAATAGGGAAAGCTTAGGTGAGGCAAAATTTAAGGATGAAACTGTCACGTCAAGTTTTCAAGACAGCAGTCAAATATCAGCGACCACACATCCTGTACTTTCTATGCAAGCCTTTCCATGCACACACTTTATACCACCATGAGAATTTTTACGGAGATATTTTTTTTAAACAATCTAGTCTGCACATAAAAAAATGTTATTTTTGTTAGAGTGATAGAAGTATTTCCTCTGCCCTCAAAAAAAAAAAAAAAAAAAAACAACACAAGAGCAGACAAATCGATTTTGTCAAATGCATTAACAAGACAAAGAGCCAAGAAAAGCACTTTTGGGTCAGAACAAGCCCAGAAGATTAAGAGTGAACAAAACCAAAGAAGTTGGAAACATACGACCATAAGGGTTATAATGTGCAACCACAGTTACAGTCTTACCAGCATTTTCTCTAATGGGACCAGCTATATTTTTTTCAATATTAAAGAAGAAAATAAATTAAAACTGTTTTGCAGATTCATGTGGCATGCACAGGGGATGGAGAGGGATTTCTAGCTTTATATAGGTCAAATATCAGCCATACGGGTTCACACAATATCCAGTACAAGCACAAGCGCTGCATAAAAATTAAGCTTCAACATACTCCAGGGGGATCTCTAGAGGCTTGATCTTGCCAACCTGAAGAGCATCAGAACAGTAATTCAGCTCAGATCAATATGTGCTATGTACTCAAGTGAAGGGGGCTGGAAAATGACTGCCCGTTTCTGCCGCTTCAATGCAACATTAAGGCTCTGGTAGAGAAGAAGTTCTCCATGGACAGCAGTCAAGGACAGTGGTCCAAACTTCGCTGCAATGACACAAATGAGACCCAGCTCACCCTGTTGGTACCTGAGCCTCAAACGAGCCAACGAACTGTCCCATGGCTCATGTTATTTGGGGCTTCAGAGGGTTTGCTCGACCTAAGTGAGAGATTCTGCTTGGGACATCTGGAAGCAATTCCTGCTCTGAAACTACTCCATCAGCCAACAGCAGTTCCTACAAAAGAAAGCTCCTGGGCATTCTGCCCTCACTCACAGCCCAAGGGCTTATTGTACCACTCCCATCTGGCTGCTTTACACTCCACCTTGCCGTAGGGCTGGGACACACAAGAAACAGGCACAGGACATGAGGCTACGCGTCATTCCCAGCCCCGCATGGCCACCCTCATGCTTGGAACCTCAGGGTTTTGACCAAGCTGGGGAGCAGCAAAGACTCTACAGTGAACACTGTGGTCTCCAGGGAGCTGAAAGCCCTCTGAGCTTACCTTGAGCTTTTCAAACCGGTCGCTGAGCGATGCCACTTGGTGGTCCCGGTGGCGGCCCACCAGTTTGCATAAGGCACAAATGAGTTGGTCGTCCGCCACACAGTACATGTTCACTTTCTCGTTCTCGTGCTCCAGGCAAGTGAGTCCGCGGAAGTGCGCGTCGGGCACAGGCTCCCACACACCGCGGGCTGTGGACAGGC